AACACTTTTATAGTTAAAATACATTGTTCTCACAGCATTATCCACATAAAGCTGTAAACACTGAATGTGATCATGGTACTGACTGGCATTAGAGGTATGTTAGATAACTATTGTTATGACATCATCAAATAGGTGTGCTAATTGACCTCCTTGCTTATTACAATGAACTGCTGTTTAAAAAAAAAAAGAAAAAAAATAATGAATTTTATTTTAAGATATTTAAACCTTTACAAATGAGCCCTAAATAAATAAATGGCCAGAAATCAATGGTATTACAGTATTCTTATAAGATTTTTTTGAATTGTTCTAATAAGACGAAATGATTTATTTTTAGTTCAGTTTTAATAGTATTTATAAGTAAAAAAAAAAGGAGTAATGTCACTTTCTGCATGAATTTATAAGAAATATGTATGTAAATAATTTAATAGCACAAGACTTATTTTTAATGTTTAAAAAGGGTGTAACTGTAAGTAGGTGGGGTAATTAAAATATACATTTCGTCGTAACACTTTAAAACTAGGTCAATGTTAGAATGTAAGCTTAAATCGATTAATCGATTAAATGTATAAAAAGTTTAATATGAAGAAACACAAATAATTATTAAAGATTATAACTATGAGGTCATCTCATAACTAGTGCTAAATAATTTAGCAAATAGCAAGCACATGGAAGTAAAGAAATCAACAAAATGGTGAAGTAAAACACAGCACAATAAGAAAACTTATAGCAATCTTTAAAAAGTCACTATAACTCATAATTTAAAAACAATTTTTCCACAAAACACCACCGTACCCAAAAAAAGTATCACGGATTTTGACAGATTTCTAAATTTTCCACGACCAAACTGAAAAGTCATTCGTTCAGTTCGCCATGAAACCCGGCAGAGGACTATTCAATGCGGTAGTGTTATAACTTAAGATTGCCAGTGTAAACCATGACGTAATTTACTGAAATGTATAATTTATTTTTTACTATGTCCTCCTATAATTGAAAAATATAAATACAACATTGTACAGTAAAATACGCTGTAGTTAAGAGAATAATGGCTTCCAATTTATCTAGCAATATTGAACCTAACCTTGAATAATTGTTATCGACACGTCGGTCTGTCTGCACAAATTATGGCAGTAGCATTTATTGTAATACTAGCTTTTGCTGCGAATTCGTCTGAGCGGAATTTAAAAATACTTAGTAGCTTTACACTAGTAGCCTTAGTGTTCTTTAAGACTATGCTCTATATAAGTGCCAAAGTAGTAACTAACATAAGTATGAAATATAAAGTGGTTGTTATATTAATTTGTGATCTTTTCTAGTTCTGTTCCTTTTCTAGTGCCCCAAATAAAAAAGCCATTAAAAATATGCTATACCATGTTTCACAATAACAGAACTTGTACGAGGTATTCAAGAAACCTTTAAAAATGTTGATGTAATTATTACGCGAGATATTTTTCTCGTATTTAGTTCGAGTTAAAAGTATTGCCAAATATAGCAAGCGTGAAGGTAATGCGAGATTTTTCGATTGCGGTTATGGTGACATCACACGAAATAATAACAGATTAATGGGTGTATGTGAAGGTTGCGTACAAGATAGGACCCGTAGCTATATCACATACTTATATCGTTACTGGTTAAAAGAACATACGTAAATATTTTGTACTAGTTGTTGCTCACGACTTGGTCTGCGTGAAATTTGAAAAAATAAAGCCTATGTTACTCACAAATAAATTTCCTTTCTAATTATGAAAGATTTTTTAAAATCGGCACAGTAGTTTTTGTGTTATCTACATACAAAAAGTACATATCTTTTTTCTTTATAAAATAAGAAATTAGAAGGAAGTGCTGAAAGCCTATACAATTTTAATAATACTAATATTATAAATGCGAAAGTCTGGATGGATGTTTGTTAGTTCGCATCTCCAAAACTGTTTAAACGGTTCTTAACGAAATTAGGCATAGAACTGGCTGTTTATAATTTTTTTTTAATCCCTGCTGACGACGCGGGTAAAAGCTAGTAACTTTACACATTTCTAAATGATAAACGAACATAGAAAAAAATATTTTTTTCTACTAATTTCTATATTCATAAACATATTATTATTCACTTTGTTAACAACGTAAAAATGTGTTTCACCGCAGATTCACGATTTCGTTGAGTGGAGTAAAGTTATAAATAACTGGTTAAAAATAATCTGAAACTCAACGCCCTTTTATATCGCATTCTCAACTCAGAAAGATGTCTGTCAGATTTATTACACTCAGTTCTAACTGTTCAGGTATAACTGAACGTTATTTAAGTTAGTAGCAAGTTTAAACTTATATTGACAAGTAAATGTTGAAAGTCCAGACTATAAATAATGCTTTAAAATATTAAAAAATGCTTTAAAAACATGATACAGTTACTTACGATAAATTTTACTTTAGTATAAGTATGTAAAATTTATTATGGCAAGTTACACTGAGAACCTGTTTTGTTCGACCTTGTTCTTGAATTTTAAAATCCGATTAAACGTGGGAAACCATAACAATGCCTACATTTTATGGCAATACTGAAGATGCTATAGGATTTAGTCTAGAGATCTGAAAGATAATTGTCTTGGCACTTCCGGAACTTTACTACTCTTATGCGCGACGTGCCAACTCAAGTGTTATTGCTGGCGTCTGTCAACAGTGGTAGAGCCCACTTTATTATTTTCGTAAATGAGCTATCTCCTCCGGAGCAATACCACGACCACACATCAGACAGCCGTGAAGTGGAAGTAATTCCGCGTTTCCTCTGGTTGAAATGGAGGCCTAATTTCAGCCCTTTCTACATAATATTATAGCAGGAAAGATTTGTATTTTTGTATGTATTGAAATAACTCAAAAACTACTGGGCTGATTGTAAAAATTCTTTGACCGTTAGAAAGGTAATTTATTTGTGAGTAACATAGGCTATATTTTTTAATTCCACGCGGTCGAAGTCTATATAAGATATGAAACAAGAGAAGTAGAAAAATGTCTTGCACTGAGAATGTTAAACATGTCTCTAGAAACGTCACTATGACGTCATTGGTTGCTTGTAGCTTGTATAATTATGTATTATACGGTTTGCAATTACTGTATGCGATACTTATCATTAAAACTAAGCCCAACATGATTAGTCCTCGATATGAGGAATTCTCATGACTCAGAATCAACAAATATACGTATTTCCTGACTCAGTGTGACGTAGAACGTCTCGTTTTGGTATAAACGGTAAAACATGCTTCTTTATTTGATGATGAATTTTATTGATGACGTCATCCGATAAAATGTGCCTCGCAATTAGTCATAAAACAGCTAAAATTAATGACCTGGAAATAAACGCACGGTTCACACGGAACCGGTACGATGATCAACTAAATTTGTAAATTCATACAGTTATGATAAGTATTAAAATTGAATTTTGATGGCTACAAAGGTAGAGTCTTGCTCTGCCCGAAGAAAGTATGGATGGAAAGAGTCCAAGACCATCATCTTCCTCCTTTTCCTACTCCCGTAGGGTCGGCGCAATAGGTTTTTGTCTTCCACATAACTCTATCATACGTCATCTGTCATCACTCCCTTTTTGATCATGTCACCTTTCACGCAATCCATCCATCTCTTTCTAGATCTGCCTCTATCGGCTAGTGTGCAAAATAAGAAATGAGTGAATTTAAGTATGACGGCTGATAGGGATGTATGGAAGAGTATATACTGTGCCAATACTCCGACAAGGGCCATTTTGTCTATAGAGTAATGATTTGCGAGATTTGTGAATCACCAAGGATTTATGACGTCAGCTCCCCTAGTTATAGTAAATAGTTGAATCGAAGTACAACCGTTAGCGCTATGTTAGCTGGTATTTTGAACCTTTTGAACTTTAGGGGTAAATTTTCAGAACACATTCTGGATGAAAGGATTATGAGACTTTTACACGCTTAAACCTTTTTAAGTGTGTTCGTGAGGGTTGCTCAATCTTCAATGGAACTGGAGTTAAAATTTTGTCGCTTTTTCTATGTGTTTGTGTGCGATAATCTAAGAAAGGGCTTAGCTGATTTGGATTTACTTTTCATTGTCGTATTGTAAATTGCGTAATTTAACATTTAGTGTCAGTTTAAGCCAACTGCAAAGTTCAAGCCTATGTTAGTTGATATTTGACCTGATTCAGTGTTGATTTACACACGTCTCTTACAACGAACTTGTTAGTAAAATCTGGTATCTGAAGTATCTCTGATATGCGAATGCTTTACATTGTAAACACAAGACAGAACATCGAGAGGAAGTCGTGAATCAACGTTATATTACCATTGAGTTTCTATCTTTAGTTTTAGAGACGTTTTCTACGAACTAAAGGAAAGTAAAGCATAGAGTACGCACAGAGAATAATTTGCAAAGTAACACATGTCTGAATTCTATATTCTCTGCCCATCTCGTTACTTTATAAGTTTTTTGTAAGGCAATAAACATTTTGTCCTAAGTTTGTACTTTTAACACATTATTTTTTGTTAAACTCAATTTTGTAATAACCTAAAACGTTTTAAAAACATAATAATGTAGTCCTAGGTTTTTATGGCCGAATAACATGTAGCAAAACATCATTAATAAAAAAAGTAATTTTTGTGAAATATTCCCGGTCTCGAAAATCGAACCCAGGACCGATATGACATATCTAAGCGATCAATACGACAAATGTAAACTTGGCGCAACATCAAAGAAATATTTCTTGGCATCAATTACTGTTACATTTAATGTCTCGTATATTTTCCCTTACCGTAAATACGAGGTAAAAGTTGAGGAAAATACAATAATGAGACAAGTGTAACCTGTTTTGAGAAAAATAAGACACATTGGCATCCACAATGCCACAAGGATAAAATACCATTCGGATAAAAAAAAAATCGGTACACCAGGGCCCGACATTACTGGCAACACACAAAAAAGATGAAATTAATAACTTTCTTTTGTTTCTTGAATTACAAAAAAAACTGGTTGTCACTTACCACCATATTAACATTGACAGATGCACAAGCTTCCTCAATCACCTCCTCAACAGCACCACTCTCGTACTCCTCAGCGGGCAAAGAAGGATACAGTCTACCTCCAGTTCGGAACATGGTATCATCTTCTGCTGGCAGACTAGGGTAAAGTCCCCCGTTACCGACCAACGGCTCAGAACTCCCTTCTCCATCTCTTTCTCTCTTCAAGAAACCACGTACAGCGGTTGCAGCTGTCCCTCCTCTGTGCCAACCCCAACCGTTCGCTTTAAAATTCTTCGGATAATAATTCCAAGACATTTTGAGGTTAAACGTCAAATTATTAAATTGTATGCAGAAAATCTGGAATAAAAAAAGATTTAATTACTTAGTATAGTTTCTTTTTCTGTTATGAAAAGTTTTATAATGTAAATTAAGTTTATCTTCTTTAATTTAAAGGGCATTTTATTCCGTACCTATCAATGTGAATTTATGATTTGTATGACAACTAACGCCATCTATTACCGTAAAAATTACATCTTTAAGTAAAAAAACATTTTCCTAAAAATATCAAAGTGAATTGTAACAATTAAATAAATATCCAATTTATATGATAACGTATCAGTATGGCAATAAAATTATTTTTACTGTCATTTCGCCGAATTTGTATTTTTTTAAAGGAGTGGCTTACACGTGAAATAAATTGGCCATTTTGGGAATAACTATAGGGTTGTCAAAATCGTTTTACTTCCAATTTTTATATGAATAATTTGGAAACAATTGAGTGATAGCCGAATACATAGAAATGGCAACCATGTTTTGTTGCTTGCTACGTTTCCTATGCAGAAATAATTTGAATTGCAAAAATCCGTATCACAAGGCATATTTATTAATATGTTTGAAGTTAAATTGCCAATGATTTTGTATTTTGGTATAATAAATTGCCACCCCTAAACACACCTACCAATTTCCAATGACATAACAACGACTTTCTGACCTCGTTTCGTCCTTTAATTAACAAAATAGTTGCGTTCAGGGTGCGCCGTGAATTTTGACTAATTAATTGGATGTTTTCTTTAATTATCCTAATTGTATACTTAAAAAACAAAGTTATACTTTCGCAAGGTAATGTAAAAAGTTTTGGCTCGTTAAAGAACTCGGTTTTAAGGCTCCGAGTTTTCTTTTATATTGCAAAATGTGAAAACAAATTACTATTTTAACAACTAATCTAATAACATTTACTATTAATATATGAGCGATCACTTTTTAGTTTAAATTTTAATAAATCTGACAACGAATCTTACTATCTTACTAATCTTACTATCTCATTAATATTATAAATGCGAAAGTTTAGATGGATGGATGTTTGTTAGAGTTTGTAGCCTAAACGTCTGAACGAATTTCGATGAAATTTATTACAGATGTAGAGAATGGTCTGAAAGAACACAGGCTCACTTTTGTTTTTATTAATTCTACCCGGACGGAGTTGCGGGCGAAAGCTAGTTAAAATTTAAACAAAGTGTTGCCTAGAAATATATTGGAATAGGTATACTTTTATAAAACATCTATCTTACTAATATTATAAATGCGAAAGTTTAGATGGATGGATGGATTGGATGGATAGATGGATGTTTGTTAGCGTTTGTAGTCTAAACGGCTGAACGGATCTCCATGAAATTTGGCACAGGTTTAGAGCATAGTCTGGAAGAACACATAGGCTACTTTTTATCCCGAGAAATGTCCGGTTCCCGAGGGATACGTAGCTTTTTGTAATTTATATAGTTCGTATGTCTAATACCACGCGGACGAAGTCGTGGGCAACAGCTCGTTAATTATAAATAGTTATGCCTAAATCTACCGCGACTAAATCCGCGCGAAATTAAAAACAAAAATTTACGCCAATTCTAGGATCCTGTTTCTGTTTTCGAGTTTTAGAGAAAAACATCCATTCATCTAAACATTGCGAACTCTACAATACATAAATTTGAATCAATACAGTAACAAAGAAAATTCTTATATGATTCAAAAGTCCATTGTTTACCTTTAGCGAGGATTCTATGGTTTGATATTATTTGTACCGCTTTAGATTTATAAATAAACAAATACGATAATAAGAATCAAAGTACATATCACAATGAATGCATTTCTTAGAATAATCGAATGAATTAGCCACAGTTAAGCTATAAAACTTCCTCTTGTGATTCATTGAACAATTTATTTTAAATAAAAACCTCAAGGAAAACATTCTGGAACTTAAAGAAAAAAATGTAATGTTGTACTTCAAATATTTCGATTTAATTTAGTACCTAAATAAGACAGATTGTTTTAAATACGATTATTAGCAACTGTTTTATGAGGTCTTGTGTTAACATGTAAAATAATTTTGTTGATAAAAGCGTAAATAGATTTTGCACACAAATAGCGTTTTGTTATTGTCACGTGATAGAGTGTTTCAGGGTCGTAAAATAAACAGATGTGAAAAACTAATTGGATTTTATAAGAACACTTAAACAAAGGTAATAATGTGGTTTGTAGTATGCATTGAAATTTACTGATTCCTATACGATCATATATAACTACGATATAATATACAAAACCTCATAAATACGAATATAGAAGTGAAAAGTTTGAGGATAAAACTTACCGATAGTACACTCTCACGAAGTTGAATAACTAATGAAATGAATGAGTTGAATGAACGGAGAGTGAATTGGCAGAGATCAGTTCAATCACCTGTTGACGTGCTGGTACTGCTGCAAGTTACTTATCTAAAATTGCAGAAAAAGTTGGAAAAAGTATGGTTTAGCTTTAATTATTTAAACTTAACTTAACATATATTGTAATAATAATTATATACGTGCATATTCAAGGCTCAGGGTTCGTTTGAATTGATTTATATTATATTGTGAACACATTGGTTTAAACTTTTATTTTTGAACGAAACATTTTATCATCTGTCAAGAAACGTCAAACGTCAAACTTGATCAACACAGTTTGTGTTTGCACGTGTTTTTATTTATACGAATCATAACCCAATAAATATTAAAAATGAAGGTATTATCAGAAGATAGAACTCGAATATTATTTGAAAAATTAAGTAAATAGTGAGTTGTTTAAATAAACCAAAACCTAATGTGTAATGGTAATTTTTCTTGAAGTTTAATGATTTTCCGTTTATTTTCAGTATCGGCGTGAATGTAAAATTGTTAATAGACAGACCAGATGGGACGTATTGTTTTAGAGAGAAAAAGGATCGAGTGTACTACATATCGGAACGTCTATTGCAGCTTGCACAGACCGTGAACCCTGACCATTTAGTATCAGCAGGCACATGTTTCGGAAAATTCACAAAAACAAACAAGTTTAGATTACATATAACTGCATTGACTTATATCGCACCATACGCTTCTTATAAAATTTGGGTTAAACCATCAGCAGAGCAACAGTTTTTATATGGACATCATGTTTTAAAAAGTGGTATGTAACTGTAATTTCTTTTAGTGGTCTTTTATCAATTATGTGGTACTTCACGTTTTTAACCTTTCACCGAATTCTCTAAAATGATGGAGACCACTGTTTATTAAAAAAATAACAAGAACATTCTTTACTGTACATATTGGCAGCTAGAAACCAGTTCCCAACAGTTCATTTTAATTGATAAATTACATTTAAAAATAAAATAACTAATTTCACATTTAGAGTTTACAAAACATTAACAATTCTTATTATATTCCCATACACAGATATAAGGTGTCAAAATTCACCAAAAATGACTATAAGCTATAAATTTTCCAGGTCTAGGAAGAATAACGGAGAACACACCGAAACATCAAGGTGTAGTGATATACACAATGTCAGATATACCAATCGGTTTTGGTATTACATCCAGGTCAACAGCCGAGTGCAGACATGCGGACCCTTTAGCTAATATAGCATTCCATCAAGCTGATATAGGAGAATATATACGATCGGAAGACACTTTGATGTAGGAATAAATGTTTTGATAATATCATGGTTGTTTATTTAATTTAGACAAAGGTTTAGTAGATTCTCATTTGTTTTAAAAACCTACTATAACAATACGTTTTACTAGTATGTGAACATAATAAATGTTAAATTTTCAGCTACATTAGTCACAAATGATAACTAGGTAGTTATCATACTTCATACTAATATTATAAATGCAAAAGATATTTAAATGTGATTAGATGGATTGATGTTTATTAGAGTTTTTAGCCTAATCGGCTGAACTGATTTCGATGAAATTTGGTACAGATGTAGAGGATATTCTAGAACACATAGGCTACTTTTTTATTCCACACGGGCGAAAGCTAGTTTATCTATGTATGACAATGTGTAGTACTAAATTGTATCACTCTGAATTTCAGTTATATGTAAATGTTTAATATACTGTCCTGTGAATATTTTTGCAGTTAATTAATATTACGTAGGGACTGTTGATGTAGACTCAAAAGTATAAAAAGCTAAACATTTTAAATAAATGCTATCTATATGGCTTCCCTTATTTACCCCTTTTATTAAGACACTTTTTTTAATTGAAAACATAGCACTGTACAATAAGTTGTACAAATCGATAACTAGATGGAGTTAAAGTAAGGCAGAGAACAAAGCTTGTAACAGTACTTCCTAGATGGAGCAATGAGGTAAAATTTGCATCTTGAATGACGTACAATCTCTATTTTGCAGCAAATCAACAGATGGCGCTATTTCTTACATTACAGCGTCAATGACATCGTGAAACACCGATAATCTTATTCGCGGTTCACATCTGGTCAGACTGGTAATCAACTAGCATAGTATGATGCTAACTGGCTCCAGTAAGTTCATACACACACGCATCAACTAACTAGCTTAGCAGCTAGTAACACTAGCGTGTGTCGCCCAAAAATGATAAAAATACAAACTATCACTAGCCTGGATATTATCGAATCAAATGCAAACAAACTTTTTCTTTCCTGAAATGGTAATTATAAATATTAGTAATTAATAAAAATCGACTTATATATTATTACAATAAAAATGTAGGGTACTGAATAAAATTTAGTATTTACTACGTCTGACCCATGGTTATTATGTTTGCGGTAAAATGGTATTGTTCTATATTTTTCCGCTTTGCTAACAAAAGATTTATAATAGTCTATTAAAATGATCTAAGAAAGGACTAAACGACATGATTTAGAACAATCCAGGGCTGTTTAAACCATTTAGATTTTTATACCAACACTTTTGATAATAAAATGTTCAATATTCAATCGTCAGAGATGATCAAGACATGGGCGTCGACATGAATCGCGACGGATTGAAGATGGCGGCGCATATGTGTACAGACAAGATATTTGTAGTTCCAGTGCTTTATTACCGAGAGACGTTCGAAAAACGCTTCTTGTACACATACGGTCAATAAAAAAACAAAATAAAATAGATGACATACTGGGATTTGTTAAAGGTATGTTCAGATGGAAATCTTTAATTAATGTGATTAAAGGCTTGTCCCACTACTGGCTGATAGATGCTCAGATAGCTTAAAAATGACTAGCTGTTAGACAAGGTAACAAAATCCTATATTTCCATCACATATTTTACACGTTGGAGTATTATCAGACAGTTTACAATTTGGTAGGACAGGTCCTTAATCGGCTAATTTGTCTCGATAGTGTACCGAAAGATGTCGATAGAATTCCATCAATAAACTTATAATTTAAAAAACTCTTGCGAACTATTAGCAGTCAGTTTGGTCACCACTGAAAGGACAAATTGTGAGGATAAAACACAGTAAAGGATAATTTCCCTTCTTTTTGTATTCGTGCCACTTTATTACGCGTATGGGTGTGTGGCTATTGCGGGTAGTTTACGGCGCTATAAAACATGGCGTGACGTTAGGATGGCTGTATTTTATGTGGGTAATGTCTTACCGGTATCGTTGTTTAAGGTTCGCGACACACAGTCGTCGTTATTGAAGAAAAAGAATAATAAACCAGTATTATTCTGTTTTAATACAGTACTCTTCATTTTGTCTAGGAATGAAGGAATTACTAGTTGTTGCTCGAGACTTTGTCCGCGTGAAATTTAAAAAAAAAACGTAGCTCATATTACAGACCTTTCTCATGGTGAAAGAATTTTTGAAATCGGCCCAGTAGTTTTTGAGTTATTTATATATTTACTGAAATCCAAAAATACAAATCTTTTCATTTTATAATAATAGTACAGATGTGAAAGAAAGTTGATACAAATTGTAGTTTTAGTAATTACAAATCGTATAGGCAATAGTTCAATTTTACTCCATATTCAAAATAACAAACATAACCTAAAAATAAATGTAAAACTTTCCTCAATCTTGTTCCGTTAACATAATTAAAGTTTTTACCTCCATCTGTTTATTCCTTTATATTAAACTCATTTACAAGTTTGATATCAGGTTAAGAAACGCTTCCGAAAGTAATTACGACAACTTTGATAACCCAAGGGAAGAGTTCTCTCTGTGTTGTGATTGAGATGGAACTTTACATTGAAATAAATATGAAATTTTACTTCTTACTACTATGCGAAAGTTTAAATTGATGTTTGTTAAAAGGTATCTTTTTTTTTATAAAATAAGGTAGCAAACGGCCACCAGAATCCGCCAAAATGGCGAAGAGACCGCTGCCCATAAACACTCGCAATTGCAGATGCGTTGCCTACCCTTATCCGACAGAGGAGGAGACGCACATAAAGAGAATATACCCCCTCCTATGTATCTTCTCCTCTGTCAAATCCACTTTCCCATCCAATCCTTTCCTTATTTAAAAAGGGTAAAACGGGAAAGAGATTAAATTGGGCCTCCGGCACCACACTCATCAGACGAAACGCGGAATTGCTTCCACTTCACGCCTGTCTTTGTGTGGTCGTGGTATTGCACCGGGCGAACCGACCCATTCGTGCGAAGATGTGAAAGCGTGATCTACCAATGTTGATTCTAAAGTTCAGTTAAAACTGAAGGTGTGTAGCGGGTTTAAGGATTACTGTTCAAGGGTTATAGGTACTCGGTATCAGCCAATATCAGATATGAAATGTTCCACGAAGACATTAACGAGCTCTATTGAATATAATATATCACTGATTGTTTGATTTCAGTGAATCAAAACAGTATAAATATTTATTGCGTTCAAAGAACTGTAAAGGTAAAGAATATTAAAGGAACTAGGTATAAATAAATAGTATTGTAATCTTGTTAAGTATGTTTAATTATGTTTTGTTACAGAAAAAATATACAGACGCCTTGAATTCCTCCTTTTGAGAAGTCGGTCAATTAAGTTTTTTTGTCACGGGAACAGCAAGTTTTATTATAACATTTTATCTAAGAATATCATGAGTTGCAGAACTATCTTATATTGTTACGATCTGTCTTTGCAGTGTCATTTGCGATTGACAACTGAATACCAGTCTACTAATTAGATGAACACATCAATTAGAAGGCATTACACGCGTGCTGAGTTACAATAGAACGTACCTTAGCTATTAAGGAAAATAGGTCACAGGAATTCAGTAATTAAGATCCTCTATAATAATCAATATAAAATGCGTTTTCTTAATTGATGTTGGCATTTGTATGTCCATATTTTAAAAATAAGACAATCAATCAAGCCATACTAGATCATTAAAAGAAAATATTGTTATAGTGACATCTATGTTAATTTTTTGGAAATAAAACAGCTTAGCAACACA